TTCAGATGTGACGGGTAGAGTCGGTATGGAAAGGTGACAGATTTTTTTATACATGTTGATAATTTCTGAATCTATTTCTGATAAACATTTCTACAAACATGTTGAAACTAGCTATATTTGAAAAGTAATAACCCAAGATGATAACCATACCTCCGTTTTATTCATCAGTGCATAACAAAGCTTTCTTTCCAGCGCCCAGTACCCTTCTCCAGACTTAAACTCATCTTGTATCCTAAACCCATAAACAGAAGTGAAATAAACACAAAAACTTCGGAGTTCCTTTATTTTCCCCCAATAATTAATATAATCAGAAAGCAATAGTACCTTTTTGTCAAAAGGCCATGACACTCAAGTAGACATGACAGTGGTCTGAATGGGACACTTTTAAACACATTTGTACACCTAGAAATTAGCCACTGACCTTCCTGCAGCCCAAAAGATATTGGTCACGTATTGTTAATCCCCAAGTTCAAATAATTTTGTGTTTATTGCTCTCAAGTTCTTAGCAGTACCGCCTGGCTTCCTCTTTCTAACATGTTCATTTCCTCACTTGGTGCATGCAGTGTCTTCTCATTCAAACGATCAAGCTGTAACAAAGAGAACCATGATTTCTAAGAGAATGAGACAAAAGGGAAGAAATCACATAGAAGCTCACCAATCAGAGATCAACTGGTGACAACTCTGCTCATCATATCATTGCACTCTCAATCAACCAAAATTTGCAATTCCTTAAAAGATAATTTCACGGCTTACTGTGTAGTCCCTCTTTTTTGTTTCAAAATTTTACTAACAAGTATGGGCGGGAAGAAATGCAGGCTCACAAAGCTTTGTTCTTTTTTCCACAAAAAAAAAGGTAGTGTCTGATTCCTTGTGGAACTACATAGAAATAGTTTCCCAAGGGCGTCCCACAAGTTTCCCAAGGAGCAGCATTTTCTCCTTTTGCAAAAAAGAGAGAACTGAACTTGATGTCATTTGCGTAGATCATTACCTGATAAATGTAGCTTTCTGTGAATGAAAGCAAAGGTAGATATTGGAATACTGATTGTGGTTTGTTTATATCCATCCCATGAAACATAAAATAAGATCTGCACTGAAAAAATGAGTTTACAATTATTCCATAATCTGATTATACTACT